ATGCACTTTAAAACAATGAAACTCACCAAAATTCTTCCCTGCCAAAGGGAGAGTGTTACTTCTCCTCTCAGATGTCTTACCAAAATGTGTATATCAGAAGTTTGTTCTTGTCTGATTTTGAAGGGGAGGGGAAGGAAGAGATATCTTAGTTTATAGCAACTCCCCCTTTGAACTGGAGACACCTGGAAGTAACCAGGAAATAACCAGCCAGAATATTGTCGTAGCTTTAAATCAACAAAAAAACACTAGGTCCAGGAGGGGTAATGAAGTTAAGGCAGAAGCTTAGATTTCAGTCTCAGCCAGCTGCAGTCCTATCCAGCTGCAGTCATGAGGTGCCACCTTCTCTCTGCTAACAGGGCGCTGTTTGAGAGTTGTACTCAGTGTGCTAGTTCTGTGAGTAATGATATATGTTATTGGTTTAAAGATGTAACAGCAGTCTGCTAAGTACAGGTTTCTCTTAGTGATCTGGTCTGCAGTTTTGGGTCTGTGTGTAATCAAAATTAATGTTTTATAATACTGTGATCAGATCGCATCTACAAAGCAGAGGGTTTTTTAGTTCGTATTTCACTCTTATCCTTGTCCCATGTAGTCTCAGGTGGCACAAATCTTTTGTATCATTGTTTGATAAAGTAGTTTCCAAAGTGTTCCATCCCACTTCATTCCCACATGAATTCCCTGGAAAACCTTACTGTTGGAAGCAAATACCTTCTCCCATATCCTTAAAGTATGGACTTGCTGTTCAGAGAAAAATCAGTGTATTTCTCCAGCATTTGAATGTATGTAAATTCTTCCATGCACTTTTCCCGGGGAAAAAGTACTTTTGAAACAGATTATAATAGCTAAAATTGTAGTCTTCTGTGACATTTTTTCCAAGGATGTAAAAGACACGTGTGGTGGGACTGGGATTTTTAGGTAGGCACATAATACATTTTGAATAAATGGCAGTCAGATAATTATCATCTCTCTTCCTGTGTAATTATTTAATGTTTTCATTTTTCTTTTAAACAAACCTCCCACAGGAGTGTTTCAGTTGTTGCATTGCATCTGGTTTGGGGTTGAGGACTAGAAAAAGGGTGTTTATTTTTAGACTGAACATCTACTGATTTAGTTAGCAGTGTCCCTTGAATGTACCTGCTTTCATAAAAAGTTTCGGAAGAACCTAAATATTTATAACTTTTAAAAATGGTATAGCTCTGTGTAGCATCTGGTTATAAATTCATCCCAGTGGTCTCATTAATTGTACAGATTACAAAACTGAAATTAACAGTTGTAGCCCCTGTTAGAGTTGTATTGCAGAATGAAAAAAGTCACTTCCCTCTTCCCTGCCTGGAAGGGAAGCATCCCTCCCCAGTTGTGAGAGGACCATGATGGCCTTGCAGTGTTCTGAGTCCCTGTTACAGGTCAGGTGAGGAACTGAGTGAGGGAAAATACTGCTGCTGCCTTTGTTATCCTTATTTTTCCCTTCTCTTTGTATCCCTTCCATTAAGGACTTTCTTTGGTTTTGATATTCTGTTTCCCTAGAATACATGACAGTCAATGAATGAGAACAGTGATGGCAGTTTGGACTTGTGTGCCCTCCATCAGATCCTCTGCCATGTAATGGCAGGTTCTGCACACAAGTTTAATGCAAACTTGTAGTCAGGAAAAGTATCCAGAAGAGGTGTACCTGCCAACCAAGTATGGTTATCTTGACAAATGCAACAAAATCTTGCAGAAGTATTATCTTGAGCCAACAACTTTTAATGCTGAAATTAGTTAGCTTCCCAATTTAAGGGATATACCCTGCACTGCTAGAATGTGACTGCCAGCTTTGGAAATGTGTATAAAAATATTCTGTGCTTTGTGCTTATGCATAGTGTGTACAAAGTTTGAGCACTTCCAGGATTGACAAAAAAATATTTAGGTTAGTTGTGAAAAAAAAAAAAAAAGGTCCAGCTTGGTTTGTTACTTCAATATTAGTCCCTTAAAACATTCATGCAAAATGTTGCTGCTCACTAAGATGCTACAGCCCTTTGGTGGTGAGCACAATACTGCTGGTAAAGTGGACCTTGTTGGTATGTCTCCTTTGCTGTCTCATATGCTTTAGAACTCACTGTGTTTCCTATTGAGTCATTGTATTTTCTAGTAGAATTGGATGGTTGATTGTTCTTTTATACTGACAGCCGAGTAAGCAGGCAGAAAAGATCACTTGTTGGTTGGGTATGTCAGTTTACCATTGAACTTAGAATTTGACACTCAGATTGGCTATAGTGTCCACAGTGCTATCACTTTTTCCACAAACAAATCTAAGCTGATGTATAACCTTTTGAAGGGTGTGGAGGGCTTAATATATGGAAGGTAGTTGGAAGAGAGGTTCCTGAAACAGTAAGCTAGTAAAATATTATCTGTGGGGTTTTGCCTTTTTGCCTATTTGTGGGGACCATTGCCTGTGTCCTCAGCCAGCCCCTAGCCCCGTAGGTATTTGGGTGTCATAGCAAGAAGATAGCTATGTTTCATTGGGTCTTAGAAATTAAGAAGTTAGGGGACATACTTAGAGGGAAGACAGGGGAGCACGAAGGTGACACACATGTGTAGGAAAATGGCCATAACTAGTTCCAGGGAGCTCTTAATAATTGTAATTGCTGTAAGAATCAGCTTAACTGTAGATTGTTGAAGGGAAGTTTCTGCACTGGAGCCACTGGAAAGCTGTATTTGCTATTTCCTAGGGAAGGTCACACAGGTTCCTTTCGTAATGAAGGAAGGGCAAAGAGAACTGCTGTGTTCTGCTGCCAATTCAGCAAATCTTTTTGGCACTCGCTCATACTCTGCTTGCCTCAATTTCCACTGAAGATCATAAAAGGTGATTTTATTTGGTCCTTTTGGTTGGGTTTTGTTTGGTTTTCTTCTCCCCTACATTTTTCCCAATTTCCCAATCTGTCAGTATTTTGATGTTCTCTTCCCAAAGACCACAATGTAGCAAGCACCCAGTGCCAGGTTCCAGGGCAGCACTGGCTTCTCAGCAGTGTCCCGCTCTGCTCCTGGTGGAAAACATCCTGTAGCAGGGGAGAGGCTCATTAGTCCCCTTGTTTCCGCCACAGTTCCTTTCTAGTTGTGACTCAGCATGGATGTGGATGCATGTGTTCTGCTTTTTTTTTTTTTTTAATGTTGTTGAAATCCCCACACAAGTTATTTGTTGAAAAGGTGAAATATTAAAGACTAACTGATGCTTAATGCAGAAAAATGTTCCCATTAGAGAGGGGAAACCTGTCAAGGTGCATTTCATGCACTGTATTACTGCCGCTCAGTAGAGCAAGTTAGCGCTCACAGGTCTTGATCTTCTACTGAGGGACTGTTGCAAAAGCAGATACCTGAAACTGGCAGGTAATAAATGGCAGAAGAAACTCATGATGTAACCAACAAAGAGAATAGTTACACAAGTAGCCAATTTTTTTTGTGACCTGTTTAGTATTAATAGCTTGGCAGATTCTTCAGCAGAGAGATTTGGGTTGTAACAATGACTACCCAGAAAATGTCATTAATTTTAATTTTATACAAGAAGCAAGTGGCAGTTCTGGCTTTGCATAGAGTAGTCTGCTAAGAAAAATTCAGGCTATTAAAAGAGGTTAAATACATTCTGAAGAAATTTTTTTAACCCTCTCCTGTTATCCTATAATACTTGGTAACGAAAAGCTAAACACTATGGTGGGGTGATTTAAGAGTGCTTTAATGTCTGATGTTTATTCACATTTATTTGCCTTTACAGAGATTTAATGAACTTGCTTTAAAATTACTTTACTCCACCCCATATGTTTTGTGGTCCCAGTCCTACCTATAATTTTGTTAGCTGACTGAGATATCTTTATAGAGCTCCATTCACTTCAGCAGCAGTCCATAGAAGTACTTGAGTCTCTTCTGCATGACAAACTACTACAGTGTTGGACAGGCCATGCTGGAAGTGTTAACTTTCCCTCTGTTTATTACAACAGCTATGGACAACCTTTGTGCATAGTTATATTTTTTTACAGAGAGGTTTGCTTATGAGGTTTTGGTTTTACGGAGAGCGAGGACATTAGTATGGTACAATATGTTGATGTGTAACCTGGCCTCTGAAGTATAACTAATGCTAACCTTTAGGAGTAGGTAATTTATTAGTAAAAAAACTTTAACCTCATGGTTTTCTACCAATTTAGTCAGACAGCTACACCTTTCTTGTACTTTGAAAGCTTTTATTTTCTTAACTTTCCCTAACTTTTCCTATACTAACAAAGGCTCCAAGAAACTGAAAACAGTCCCTCAGACTATTCTTGCTGCCTTCAGATGCAGTTCTTGTCGACTCTGCCTGGTGGGTGCAATGAGCTTCAGGCACTTTCTTGACTAAGAGCATCTCTTCTCTGTTCTGTTTCCAAGATGAGGTATAAAGTACATGTAAATTCTTGCAGGGCAGGTTGGGATCCTCTCATGTATTGCAGGTTCCTTTGCCAAATCACAGGTGTTGTTCTGCCCTTGAACTTTATGCAGGCATCCTCTTTTAATGATTAGCAGACTCTGAATGAATTTGCATATGTTCATTCTGATTTCAAAAAATCTGATTTTTAGACCAAAGATAATGAGTTGACTTGATGATCTCTGCAGAGTGAAGTCTTAGATAAGGTATCAGTAATTACAGTGGAGAATGTAATGCCTTTCAAGTTCAATTAGATTAAACAGAGGTTACAGATTCATTTTAAATGATACACACCTTCTGTTTCGTATTATAATTTTTGCATATTATGACTACGGAAAGTTTTGGAAGAGGTTGAAGCATTCATTATTTCACAAGAGGTATCTCTTTTTGGTTAGTATTCCTATACTGCTGAAATTAGTCTGCATGTAGTACTGGTACAACTCAAAAGAGGGATTAATCTTGATCACAAGGTTTTCAGCACTCATGGTTTTGTTACAATATTTGGGAATCAAGAGAAACTTTTCCAAGTTCATGGTAATTCACAAACTCAACAGGTTGTTTCCTCTTTTGTTTACAGACTTGATATTTGCAAGTTCCCTGCCTTGACAGTAATCATCATGGATAGCGGTAAGTTTGTTAACTTTGTGATGAATGTGCATTCTTTATTATTCCCTATGAAGTGGGGACTAACACACCCCAAACTGTCCTCTGCTCAAAATAGCAGTCAGTTCGCACAAAAAATGTCCTCTGCTATTGAACTGGTTTTGGTGTTACATATGATGCAGATCTTTGCCCACACTAAAATGAACTGTTCTGACAGAGGTATTATATGCGGAACATAATAATCATCACGGACTCACTTGTGGACCTTTGGAGGCTAGCTGCAGATTGAAGACCACAGACCTGAATTTCCACCCTTGAGTACTTTAGTTTTAACTGTTCTTAAGCCTGTCCTAGTAATTCTGGATTCTCAGAGCAGATGTCACTTTTTAAGCTTGACAAGTAAATACTCAAATAATTTTTCTCCCTTCTGCCCTGTATAAACCAAATAGTTTTATTAAGATCACCTACAGAAAGATTCAAATTTATCAGTAGCTGCAGCTTCAAATTTAAAATTAAATATGTATTTCTAATATTTAGTGGTGGCTTTAATCTGCTTAGGTGCTGGTAAGGAGTCAGGAAAAAAAAGCTTTAATAATTGTCTCAATAGAGCTGGTTTTGGTGTCCAGGATGTCCTGGGCTTTGCTTCATCAACACTTCTGTGTCTCAGTATACCTCTCCCACACCACTGCCACTTTTTCCTTCTATCACTAAAGACCTGAAGCCTATTTTCTTTGCCTGTGACAGCTTCAGCTGCCAGGCTAAGATGTATTTATCCTCTTGTGCCCTTGCTTGACTCTGATTCTGATTGAATTTCACCTTGCTAGAGTATCTATTCGGTATTACGATAGCACACAGCTTTTCCGGAGAATGTACAAGAGATTGATCTGACTGTATTACTCTCTTCAGTAATAGTAAGTGAAACTAATACTTTAGAATTATTTTCTTTGTAACACATAGAAACTTGCTAAAAGCCAAGTATTACAATTACACACAGAGCACAGGCATGTCTGAAGAAATAAATATGTATTCAAATGCATTAAATTTCATAGTTGTATATCTTCATCTATATTCTACAAAAATTGGGGGGAGGAAGAGACTTTACATTATTTGTTTCTATGTCCATCTTATGTAATGCCAAAATCATAATTGTGGGGAGTTTTTTAATCTTGTATTTGCTAGTTAATCTCCTTAAAGTGAAAAAGTGAGTTTTATCTTGCTTCATTACTTTGTTCTTGCCACATGCAATTCTCCATGATAATCTTCAGCTCCATAGTAACAGCTGTGGTGAAATGAGCCACTCTGTAGCATGGCTAGGTAGGCATCTAACCCAAAGCAGGGTTTTTTACACACTCCTATGCAACTGTCACTGAAAGTCTACCTGATGATGGTCCTGGAATACTAAGTGGTGTCTGCAATATGGTTCCATTATCTCTTTTTGTGGGATTCATCAGGCAATGACTGATTCTCATTAAATCACTGTATTGCAATCAGAATCTCCGTCAAGATTGCTTAGATCAGTGTATGTTTTCATGTTTCCTTGCTACATTTGTACTGACTTCTCAATAGTTTTTAAAGGCACAAGGAGCGTAAAGAGCTTAAATGTCAAATCAAACCAAACAAATTAATATACTTCATTTTCTCCAGCCTTGCAGGGTCAAAAGCCATTCTTGGTCTGGACTAATCATAGATCATTATTTATCAGATACATTCAGAATTAATATGAAGTGTGATTTATTTTCCTCAGTGGGCTTTTTTGTCTCTGTGATGTATGCATTTTTTTATACTGTATTGTGAGAGAAAAGAGAGGCTTTCTGAATATGAATTGCTAAATAGAAAAGTTGGGGTTTTTTAGATGGTCATATATTGGCCATTCTTGAATACTGAATTATTTTAATGTTCTGCCGTTCTTCGTCAATGCATTTTGAAGCAGAAATGTATGCTTAGCTCTTTTTGGAAAACTAAACAATTACATAGAAACTCATACCAATGCGTATCAAATGCAGTATTTTGTAACATACCAGCTTTAAACCTTTATTCTCAGTTTGCTTCTTTGGTAAATTGGAAAGTGCATGCAGAAACAAAGATTTGTATATTGTTTCTGAGAGCCAGAAGCTTTAAATCAGGATATTTTCAGCTACCTGCATTTTCCTCTTTTATTTATTTTCCCTGTGCATCCAGTACAAAGCTGTTGTAGTTTCTCTCATTGCTATTTTCAGGAACAGATTCCAGCTGTGAAATTAAATTCCCTAGCTTTTATCTGCTGAAGGAAGGGAAACTTGATTTATAGTGCATTTTCTACTCCTCAGTGATTCCACATATGGGCATTCTTAAGAGAGTCTGGGCTGTAGCTTGTTCCACTTCAGGAATGCCCACAGGAGGAGTTGGTAAGAAGTAGGTAGAGTTCTGGCAGTCAGTCCATCCTCATGCATGGCTGCATGCTGGCTTCCTGATGTGGCTGAGTTCTTCAGCTCATCACGTTTAGGTGATCACTGAGGCATGTTAAAAGAAAACACGTTCTTCAGGCCTAGAAGGGAGTCAGGAGAATTGTGTGGGAAATGGAAAGAAGCCATCTTTTTTTTTTTTCCTTTCCTTTTCGAAGAGATTTTTAAAATTATTAATTTCTATGTTATTTAGTTCACTTATGCAATAGGAGGTGCCCATGTGCTCAGCTGTGATGCTATAGAAAACCAAAATTGTGATAGGTGCAACTGTAGAGTTGTATGCACTGAACCACTGGCAACATCATGAATAGTGTAATTTGTGTGGTGCATATACATACCACATGTATTCAGTTGAAAGTATAGGAGTGACTGGTGTTTTGGAATTTAATCTTCAAATCTTCATTTAATCCTTAGCTAAAGGAAAGTGATTTTATAACAATTTATATCAAAAGTATACTGCAGAGACTAAACAAAATAAAATTGAAGTATATCAGTATAATTATGTAGTAGCTTAGTTGCTGAAAAATGCTAACACATCTATCAAAACCAAAAGCATAGTGATCATCTTTGTAGACTTGCTGCCATCCTTTTTTAAAATTCAAAATCGGATAATTAAGGAAAAAAAACCCCAGCAATTGATTCATCTAAAATAATAGATAAATCATTGCTTAAACCAGTCAGTCTCTGTCCTTCAGCAGACAGTGAGAGTTTGTCTTCACAGTATATTGGCAGTCCCAGACTAGTTGTAAATGAACCAGTGCAGAAATGATTTCATAGGTCAGGAAAGTGGTATGAGTGTATTAGTATGGCAGTGCATTGGATAATTAGCCCCTCTTGCTGACAGTGAGAGCCCAGGAACAGGGTTGCACTGACATGATGTTCTTGCTTCCTGACCTGAAATACCTGAAGTATTTCTGCACCATTCACTGCAGATATACCTCCTGGGTAATTCAGTCTGCTGGATTTTAGAGTGTTCCAGTTGCTGCATATTACTGTAAAAATCATTGGGTCAGGGAGTTTGAGGGAAAGATGGAACATCATAAGAAACGAGGTTGCTTCCAGTTCTCTTCCTTGAACAGAAAACTAAGGAAAGCAAATAATGAATACCTGTGTCAAAATGTTGGTTGCTGTTTTGGGGTTGTTTTGTTTATCAAATAAATGAGGTTTTGTGTATGATTCAAGAAAACAGAAAGAGGCTACGTCCCCCACACCCCTCCAAAAAGGCCACTATTTCATTGTTGAGATTTCTGGAGTGGACAAGTCAGTTTAAAAGTTGCTGAAGAAAATACATAGATTTCAACTTTGATAAATGCAGCTGTTCTGGTGTGTGTGACTCTGGGTAATATTGACAAATATTTATATCAAATCAGAGTGTTCTGGCTGTAATGCCCTCTGGCAGTTGCAAATACCTTTTTGGATGTTTACAAGCAGGATTTATTTATTTTGTGTCATCTTAGTTTAAGATGTCACTTGAGCCAGGCATGTCTCTTCTGAGCGCTGTTCTTAGGCACTGGCTTAGATCTTGTTTAAGCATGCATAGCTGTGAGGCTGAATTGAGGTTCATAGCATTGATGACTAGCAGTAACTACTGAAATTGTTGCCCTAACTACTTACAACAAAACTAGGAAAGGCCTTTTATCGTATTAAATAAAGTGGAAGATTCTGAAACAGCTCTAATTCTTGAAAGCATATTTTGAAACACACAAGTCTGGGACCAGCTGGGATCCACCTAAGGGTACTGAGGGAGTTGGTGGAAGTGCTCACGAAGCCGCTTTCAATCATTTACCAGCAGTCCTGGCTGACCAGGGAGGTCCCAGTTGACTGGAAGTCAGCAAATGTGATGACCATATACAAGAAAGGATGGAAGGAGGATCCAAGAAATTACAGTCTGACCTTGATGCCTGGGAAGGTTTTGGAGCAGATTGTCTTGAGTGTCATCACATGGCCCATACAGAACAGCCAGGTGATCAGGCCCAGTCAGCACGGGTTTATCAAAAGCAGATTCTGCTTTACTAACCTGATTTCCTTCTATGACGAGGTGATAACTTCCTTAGCGTATGAGGGAAAGGCTGTGCATGTTGTCGACCTAGACTTTCGTAAAGCCTTTGACACCATTTCCCACAGCATTCACCTGGAGGAACTGGCTACTCATGGTTTTAGTGGGTGTAGTCTGCTGGGTAACAAACTGGCTGAATGGCCGAGCCCAAAAAGTAGTGGTGAATGGAGTTTAATCCAGTTGGTGGCTGATCCCAAGTGGTGTTCCCCAGGGCTCAATATTGGGGCCAGTTCTGTCTAATATCTTTACCAGTGATCTGGGCGAGGGGATCAAGTGCACCCTCAGTAAGTTTGCAGACAACACCAGTTTGAGTGGGAGTATTGATCTGCTTGAGAGTAGAAGGGCTCTACAGAGGGATCTGGACAGGCTGGATCAGTGGGCTGAGGACAATTGTATGAAGTTCAGTGAGGCGAAGGGCTGGGTCCTGCACATGGGACACAACAGCCCCATGGAATGCTACAGGCTTGGGGAAGAGCAGCTAGAAAGCTGCCCAGCAGAAAAAGACCTGGGGGTGATGATCAGCAGCT